CCAAGAATTGTTGGAGACATTAGTGATGTCTAAAAATGCCTTGATTACACGATACACTCAGCATGCAATGACAAATGAAGGAAAACAAGTGTTAGGGGCGTTTGCAGTGAAGAATAAAAGAAGAGAGATTGGATTATCGGAATTAAAGAGACTCTCACCACAAGACTTGATGGAATGTTTAGTGTAAATGATGTTTTGTATGATTGTGTGATAAATAAATGTGTTGATATAAAATAAAGTATGTATGTGTTGTTGTGTAGTGTAATTATAATAAAATATTATAAAATAAATAAATACATGTGAGTCACCCACAGTTCCGATTTGAATTCTAGTGATGAACAAAATACAAAATAACATAGTTCAGGTAGCTGCAGAAAAACAATCAGAGTAAATAAACATTAATGAACCTGCAACAAAAGAAGTTTCTCTAAATCAAGATAGTGGAGAAAATACTACACCACAAGAAGAAAAGAAAATGGAAAGGAAACGTAAGAGGAATGAAGAAAGCTGATCTAAGAAATGCTGGAAAACGATACATTAGTAAGAAAAATAAAGCAATCAAACCTCGTTCTGTTCAACCAGCCTGTGGTGATAAATGTGGGCTCAAATGCTGTGAAAAGATAACAGTAGGTCAAAGACAAAAAATTTTTGATGTGTATTGGAATCTCGGCCAGATTGATGCTCAATTTTTATTTATTTTTTGTGTGGCGGGTAGCCATCATACAACGCAAGATAATTGACAGATGCCTGAATCTCGCTTACGACATTTTCAAGATAAGCTTGCATATATACAAGTTCCGAACAACAACATTCGGACCGTCGGTCTATCGAGCAATGTCACCCGCTCGGTGGAAGATCTTTCCTTTCATCGTTAAGACTCCCAAATTGTACTGTCAAGATGAGTGAATCTAATGAAGAAATTCGATATATTTTAAAATTTTATTACAAAAAGGTAAAAATGCAACGCAAGCCGCGAAAAAAATTTGCGATGTTCATGAACCTAGTGCGGTGTCTATGAGAGTAGCACAAATTTGGTTTAAGTGTTTTCGATCCGGAAATTTTGATGTCAAAGATACACGTCGCTCTGGTTGCTCTATTACGGATAAAATTGATGTAATTTTTGAAAAAGTGGAGCAAGATCGGCATATCAGTAGTTACGACGTAGCCGAAGAACTGGGAATTGACCACAAAACAGTTTTGGCGCATTTGGAAAAACTGGGTACACAAAAAAGCTCGATATTTGGGTACCTCACGAGCTCACTGAACCTAATGAAACCTAATGAACCGTGTACTCATTTGTGATTCTTTATTACGACGTAATAAAACCAAACCATTTTTGAAGAAGCTGATAACTGGTGATGAAAAGTGGATCACGTGTGACAAGAACGTGCGAAAAAGGTCTTGGTCAAAGGCCGATCAGGCTTCACATACTGTTGCGAAACCCGGTTAACTCGCAACAAGTTGATGCTGTGTGTGCGGTGGGATGGGAAGGGCATTATTTATTATGTTACCAATAGGCAGGTCGATTCTGAACTCTACTGCGAACAACTTATGAGATTAAAGCAAGAAGTTGAAAGAAAGCGGCCGGAATTAATCAACAGAAGGGGTGTGGTTTTTCATCATGATAATGCTAGACCTCACACATCTTTAGCCACTCAGCAAAAATTAAGACAGCTTGGCTGGGAGGTGTTAATGCATCCGCCGTATAGTCCCTGACCTTCAGATTTCCACCTGTTTCGGTCTCTTCAGAATTTTTTAGGCAGTGTCAGGTTAACATCACGAGAGGACTGCCAAAACCAATTGTCGCGGTATTTTGATTAGAAGCCCTAAAATTTCTATAGCAATGGGATCATGTCCCTACCTACAAGATGGCAAAAAGTTATTGAACAAATGGTACCTACATACTTTTATTTATTTATTTATTTAAATAAGCACTGCCACATCACAAACATCTAACATTGAAAATAAATTTAAACAATTTCATTTATGGCCTGATGCATGTGACAACAATGGCGTACATAGCATTGGCAATTCATCAGCTCGAAAATGGAATACAATAATAATAATAATTAAAAAAAACAGTACTATTTGTTGAAGTATTAATAAAAATGTCTAAAAATTTCATGTCATATCAAAAAGAAGAAAAGAAGAAACGTTAATACAATGTCAAGCAACAGCAAGTCAGTTATAGAACAACAAATGATTAACGATTAAAGTTAAGGTGCGTTTTTTCTCTCTTTTCCTATTTTGTCCCTAAATAAACGCAACTTGTCGTGGAACACATCAAGATCGGGTATCACTGTGATAAGGGAATGATACTCATCAATTATTCTACGGAGAGGTGCCTGCCGTCCCAAATTAGATTTTACAGGTGGGGTGCAGAGAATATATTTGAGTTTCCCGCGAGGATAGGTACGGGGAACCTTTAAAGGCATGTTCTCTAGAAAGTAGCTACACTGATATTGACCGCTCACGACTTTGTGGAAGAAGGACATGTCCAATAAAAGTCTCCGTTCACGAAGAGAACACATTCGAAACCTAATTAGGCGCTCCTTGTAAGGATTTCTGTGCGAAAAACCGCTAGAATTATAAGCTAAATGCCTAGTGAACGTTCTTTGAATGCTCTCAACGTGCTGCGAATGCACGGCATAATACGGATTCCATACAACGCTGGCGAACTCAAGATGACTGCGCACCAAAGTTTGATAAAGCAAGATTTTGGTGCGCTGACGCCTAAATCCGCCCGAGTTACGTTTCAAAAATCCGAGCATTTGAGCTGCTTTTGTGACAGACTTGTTAATGTGCGAGGTGAATTTAAGTTGACTGTCAACTATCACGCCAAGATCTCGGATTTCGTTAACTTCTGCCAGTACTGTACCATCAAGCTTATATTCCGTAGCAAGTTGCTTTCTTTTTCTAGTGAATTTAATGTGAAAGCATTTATTTGCGTTGAGTGTCATACTGTTACAGCGACACCATTGTAGGATCGCATCTAGGTCACTTTGCAATTGGCGACAGTCGACAACAGAAACTATTGTTTTGTATATCTTGAGGTCATCGGCAAATAGTGACACCTTACAGTGACTTACTTTATCGACTATGTCGTTAATAAAGATTATGAAAAGAAGGGGTCCCAAATGTGATTCCTGGGGCACACCGGTATCTGCAAAATAAGTTTTTGAGTTAAATCCATTTACAGATACCGACTGAGGTCTCTGTTGCAAGTAAGACTCGAACCATTTCAAAAGTGGGCCATCCACACCGAACCCATATAATTTCCTCAAAAGAATTGAATGGTTAACTCGATCAAAAGCACTGCTAAAGTCGGTGTAGATGGCGTCAACCTGCCTGCCTGAGTCAACTTCATCAGACACATTGGAAATATAAGGGACCAAGTTAGTGACGATTGAGCGACCACGTCTAAAGCCGTGCTGTGAGTCCGAGATGCTACTACTGTCCACAAGCCGAAAGATTACAGGATAGACAATCGATTCAAATAGCTTAGAGAAGCAAGACAGGATGGAAATAGGGCGATAGTTTTGAACGTCAGAATTTTCTCCTTTCTTAAAGACTGGTACTTTAATTAAATGTAAATAAACAATATTAAAAAATATTGTGAATTTTTGTTAAAAATTCGCAGAACCTTTTTCCCCAGCCTATTATTTTAGTTTTTTTAAGCTGAAAGTGCCAAGTCCCTGACGGCGCGTGTTTTTAAAAACCATTAGTTCATGACTAATAAAGATGGGACGACAAACAACACGTGCAAGCATTCATCGAAATCAACACGTGCAAGATAAGAATCGTACACAACATCGTCCTACCACGTGTTTGTTGTTGAACTAACTGAGTGGACTGTTTTGTGTTTTGTGGTTCTTGTGAAACATAAACACTTTATCACTATTACTGGGTGTTTATTGATATTTATAGAAAGTACAAAGGTTGTTACAGGCACAGCGATGGAAGCGAATTTTGTGAATGAAAATTATGACTGGTTTAAGACCTAGTGAATGATTTAGAATGAATGACATTAATGTAGGTTTGCTACATGCTCCCGGCCAGCAGCCACAATTTTTTTTATAGGGATACAATTATATAATAAAACATTACATAGCTAACCAGTCTTTCAATTACATATGAACACGTTAAGTTGAGCGATACATATAATAAGCACCTAAGACTATTAAGAATTACTCAATAACTAATCAGTTAAGCAAGGACGATAAATTATACAAAATTACTCAATAACTAATCAGTTAAGCAAGGACGATAAATTATACAATTTCAAAAAGATAGCATACACAGTTATGAAAAATCAGCTATATAAACTATCTTAACTATCCAAGGACGGCTTGGTTATAAAATTCTACAAGATAGCATGTACATTTATGAAAAATTAGTTATATAAATTACACGACTCTACAAAAAAATTTTCGTTCTTTGTCCTAAAGTTTATACTATTATTTTCCAGTTAGTTATGCACAAAAACGAAAAGAAAATACCTTTTTTCGATATAAAGTTTGCTTTTGTGATAGTTATAATAATAATACTCATTTTTCAATTTTTTCATAAATTTTAATTGATTTTAATATTTTTAAAAAGACCGCGCGGTGAGAGTGGGGTATTAACGTTTACACTGTGCCGCTAGATGGCACCCGAGTGATAAACAACCATCAGGTGTTATTTACAAGCCCAGAATAACTTAAAATGTCGTCACGAAAGTACAAATACGATGCTGATGCATTTTGTTTTATATGTGGTCAATTTATTAAAGTTCGAGACGTGAAATATGAACTAAAGACATCTCACGTTCTCTGTGAAGCCTATGAAGCATATTTTGACTGTCCTGTACGGAATCAAGATAAGCCATGGGCTCTACATGTTGCTTGTAGTTATTGTAAAAGGTGTTTGGAAGGTAAGCAATTTTTATTTAATTAAGCGATGAATCCAAAATAATATAGACATATTAATTTTTATTTTTTTATTTTTAGGTTGGTATCGAGGTGAGAAAAGGTCTATGAAATTTGCAATACCAAGGATTTGGCGAGAACCAAAAGACCATATTACTGACTGCTACTTTTGTATGGTGAATCCGAGTAAAAGACGTAGAGGTAAAAATGCAAAATCTATTGAATATCCTGACCTCGAATCTTCTTCTGCTCCAATTGCTCACGACCTGACACGACCAGTACCTGAGCCACCAAAAAAATTATCGCAGAAAAGTAGCTCATCTTTTAGTTCTTATAAAAGTAATTCCGATAAGGAGTTTTTGACTACACCTGAACAACCAAAACACTATCTCATTACTTCAGAAGATTTTAACGATCTAATTAGAGATTTAAATTTTCCAAAAAATAAAGCAGAGCTTCTAGGCTCTCGGTTAAAACAGTGGAATTTGCTTGATGATGTTAAGATCACGGATCAGCGGACTAGGCATGAAATGTTTGCAACGTTTTTCACGAAGGAAGATGGACTTTGTTTTTGTAATGACATTAAAGGTATGTTTGAAGCAATTGGCATACCCTGTGTCCCTAGCGAATGGCGTTTATTCATTGACAGCTCTACAAAAAGTTTAAAAGCAGTTCTATTGCACAACGGAAATAAAGGGGATTGCCCACTCTCCATAGTGTGCTAGGCCCAAGGTGGACATTAAATATTACTATAAAAATGGACTGATTCAAATTCTTAAATGTATTAGATATCTAAAAAATATATTGAAATTGACGCCACTATTATAAAAAATATAATAAAAATAAAAAACTCGTTTTGAGGTTAATTTTCTATATAAATACCTCAAGAACTTTTCTTTTTTTAATGTTTAAGATGTTCCTAATGTATTTTTATCCAATTGTAGTTATTAGGGTATAAAAAACACACATACTTCTTTAAATATCTATATTATTCTATATTTTCTTCATCTTCATACACAATTAGTAAATCATCTAAAAATAGCACAGGAGAGCATATACACGGTTTTAAATCTCGGTCAGGTTAAAACCANACGAAAAGTTGGTTGAGGATATGCTTACAAATTTTAAGGCCATGGGCTGCAGGATGTCATTAAAAGTACATATGCTGCATGCTCATTTGGATAAATTTAAAAACAATATGGGAGCCTATTCCGAAGAGCAAGGAGAACGTTTCCATCAGGACATCATGAATTTTGAACAACGCTATCAAGGCCAATACAATGAAAACATGATGGGCGACTATATTTGGGGTTTATTGAGAGAAAGTAGCTATGAACATAAAAGAAAAAGTAAAAGTGTGCACTTTTAAGTTATTTTCCACTTTTCTGTAAGCTAATTTGATAGTAAAACTTAATAAAAATAATAAACATTTTTATTTCAATAGTTTTATTTTCAATCAAAAATTAAAATCCGAGATTTTTAAAAATTTCGTTCAATCAGTCTTCTAAGCACAAAAGCAAAGTTTTTCATGCCATATATTTTTTTTCCGTCTTATTACGACCTAAACTACCGAAATTTAATGCTTTGCAATCAAAGTCAAATTTCATGTTGACCCGTGTTATATTATGTAAATATAACATGCAAGATGCGAACTGCAATAATATCTCAGTATGTCCACACACCATTTTGGAGAAAAGCACTGAGTATGTGGGCAAGAATATTCCATACCGAGAGGCAGTTGGATCACTAATGCATCTGGCTGTGGTAAGCAGAATGTATAGCTATGCAAAAAGGTAGGGAAGCAAAGATTTTAGGCAAGAATATAATAGACTTGAGGTTGAATGCCACTGAAACAAAGCATATTGTCCTAGCAGGTTATGCTGATGAATCTGGGACTTGCTCAGGTAGCTCTTGGTGATAGACACTGGCAAAATGTGTATGCTACAGTCGAAGTTACTCTGCAAGACAACAAGCTACTTACACCGGGAGGTGTTTCGTGCATTTTCTCAGATGGAAGTTGCACAGATGTGGAGCTAGGATTCTTAACATGGGACCACCAGACAAGGAAAAACTGTGATAGAACCTCGTACCATGTTCTGTATACGGTAATCGCATCCAAAGTGATTGTTATAGAAGTCTACTGCAAGTCCAACATATACACTGTATTCTGTGAAGTCTGGAGGATTTCTAGCAACCTTAGTTAAGACTGGCGAGATTGATGTATGCGGTATGAAGATGTCAACAACTGGTCATACTAAATTGATTGTTCAAGAAGTTGCAAATGGAGTTCGATACTTCTCAGATGATTTGATACCTGCTAAGGACATGGATCTTTTCCTGTATGTCAATGCTAAGTTCACATATCTTGAGAGGCACACAAGAAGGAAGTTGACAAGTATGTATGTTTCTTTCATGAAAGAACTCTGTGAGGTGAAAAGGCATAGTCTGAAAACTCTCTTGACAATTGCCTCTGTTGACCCTGTAGAGTTTGCATACATTTACATGGGGAAACTAAGATATACAGCTCTGCTGATGGGTGAAGTTGTCAATATAGTCCAGTGTAAACCAGTTTATGTCACAGTTGCCCATGTTGACACATGTTATATGGAACTCCCTATTAATTATACTGGAAAACTGTACTTTATGACCCCCAAGTCCCACATCATTCAGAGAACTGGAACGCCCTTGACATGCACTATGTTTATCTTATAAGTTAGAGAGTAGGTGGTTTGCTTCATCTAATCAAGTTATACTTGTTAAGGAACCAACAAAGATGTCAGTAGGAATGAAGCCCACGTAGACCTATACAGATGCCGGTGATCTAGCAAAAGCGGGGATCTATAGTGAAGAGAACCTAACTCGACTGAGAAGCCAGATAAAGTACCCTGCTGAGAGGAAGGCTATCACACAGGTCATATCAGCTGCTATTAACGAAGACTCCGTTGTTACAGATGCAACGATGTTTAGAAATCTAATCACACCTGAAGCTATAAAGGAGTCAGTGAATGATTTCTTTAGTACAACATGGTCACACTTTATCTCAATAGGGTCTTTCTTTTCAGGTGTCTTTGGTATAATGTTGGTATTCAAACTCATAAAGATATTCTTTGACACAATCATCAATGCTCGAGGCCTCTATGAAGTATATGGATTTGGTTGGAGACTGGTAGCAGGCGTATGGGATGCTGCTACTACATATCTTCTATCTCCTACCAGAGTATGGAAACATCAACAAAGGAAAGAAACTGGAAAACCACCAAAATACTCGGAGTTTATTGAGGGAACAGCACCAAAACTGGACATAGAGACTCCAGTCTTGAGTGATCCAGCGCCTGTTTATCCCAGGATTTATCATGATACAATGATTGACGTACCGTGTGTACATCCAATAGAGGAACAAGGAGCATCGACTTCATCAGAGTCTAATTCAGAGATAAAGAAACATACACGAGTATCTAAAGGAAAATATATTTACTAAAGCTCTGCCTAGAGATAAGTTTCAGTATCTTAGCAGTTAGCTTGGTATTAAGAAATTGAAAGTTTGTTAATACTGTATTAAACTTAATATAAGCTTTGGTCAGTTTGATAACTTAATTGTGTTTTAAGTTCAGATTGTTATATATGTTCTAATGATATCTATGTATTTAAGTTAGAGGGTTCAAATTTGGTGAGAGTGTTGAAGAAATTAGAAAGTTGAACCCTACTTTATAGTCTATTGGTGTGATAAGTATATCTCTATTTTATACTTCAATATAATCTATGTAAGTCTGTGATTCCGTTTCCGGGTCTTTGATAGAACTCTCGCAAATAAAACTACGTGTTGTAAAACTGCTATACTTTCATTTAATTCAACAACCAGGAGTGAACTGCAATACCGGTGACATCAAGGCTACTTAACTCATCGGCGGTGATACCCTATATACTCTCATTCCTAACGTCCGAATACACGAACGGATCAGTCAACTACCTGGCGAGAGGTCACACGGTCGATCCGACTAACTGGAAAGACAAGCAGTACAATTGTTCAGAGTGGATAATGCCGAGGTCAAACTGTTGCCACGTGCCGGGCATGAAGTCGGCGGTTCTAGTTGTAGTGGATGCATCGGAAAACTCACTACCTGACGCATATTGATTCACATCCGGAGCGGTGAAATTGAGTAGGCGAGAGTGGGGTAATTGAGAACGGCGGGTAATTGGGAATAGCTAGGTAAGTACTACTTCCCGCTATACTAGATCGTCCCGATATTTTTCAACGCATGCTTCCAGCATCCCTCAGTTCGTAGGTAACAGCGAGAGTGAAAGGCTGCATGCTGTCACGGTAAATCAAACAATTTTCATTACGTTTTTTATGTAAATTTTGTCATGTGTTACAATAGATGCTATCAAATTTTTGAGTTCAAATGGCACCCCATTTAGTTACTATCATGTACGTACTGTATGTATTCAAACCTTACGCGACTTGAAGTTCGCCAAAAATTATATTGAGCATAGCGGCCATTTTACTTTGTATTGACTACTTCGGGCAATTGGGAATGGCATCAGGGGGGTAATTGGGAACATTTCTAATTTCCCCTTGCGTTCTTAATTACCCGCAATGCCTAGAAATTATGTACATAAGACTGAAACAAAATACAAAATTTAAGATCTTGCATTTGAAGAAGGTTTTAGAAAATGAAAATGAAGAGGAGTTGTACTGTATAATGCGTAACGAAATATTAGAGTCACCACCGACAGAGGATGGAGGATGGAGGAGGATGTTCATAAACTCTTGAACACATGAAAAATGCACTGCCGGCAAGACTAGTCAAGGTTAATATGTGATATGTGCCGATCAAACAATTTGTAGTTATTATCGAGATTTAATTGTGTCCATCCTGTTTGTCCCGTACCGTTCCCATTTCCCCCGCGGGACGATCTCAATTACCCCGTATGGTATCGGGTAAAAAGGAACGCTATTGTTTTTTTTATTTATTAAATTTTTTAATAAAACGTTGATTTTGGAGTTTTTTTTTGTTATCAATAAGTAGACAGGTAAGCAAAGCTTACGTTTCAATAAAAGTTAATTGTGTTTATGACTTTTTTCTATTAGTTTTGAACATTTGAAGTTAAGTGTTCCCTATTCCCCCACTTTCCCCTATATAACTGCGAAAAGAGGGCGGATGGTGTCGCAGGACAACCCGTTGCTAAGTGCTACATCTGTGGACAAATTAAGAAACAATTGGTGGAGAACCCCCCTCATTAATTCCATACACACGGATTTACTAGCAGCTATGAGCGAGATCGAGGGTACGCTGTTGGTCGAGGGTGTTATCCAGGCGGCATCCAGCGCTGCTGCTGAATGTTATGCAGCTCTGTATAATGGAGTTTGCATGGAGCCGGCTAATCGCTCGTATGTGGCGAACTCGTGTGCGCTTTACTGCGGCAACAGGAACAGAATGTACAGAGTCCCCAAAGATATACTGTTCCGGCAAATTGCTAGCCGTCCCTCAGTGGAGAGGCGCGGGGAGGGAGGTTTCGGCTCGCGGCTGGGAGCGCGGCCGCCGGCCACTTCTCCAAGGACTAGCTAAGCGTACGCGCAAAATTTGCAATTCAAAACACAATTTCGGCCACGGCAATTTGTAATCAATTTGTAATAATTATTATAGTAATGTCACAAGTTTAAACCGTAATTTAATTAAGAGAACCTACATACAAAACATTGGTGACCCCGACGTGATTAACGATATCGAAACGCTAAGCAAAGGCGCACGGACCTCGGACCCGCTACGACCGCTGCGTGACCTTTACGCACGGAGCGTATGATCGCTGCTCGACGCAATAGAAGGTTCCAGACATCGCGCTATGCAATTTGGAGTGCAGACGGAAGGATCTCAATAAGGACGGCATATTATCCAGCTTGAAGCCCGCCGGTCAGCGAAGTCTACGCGCCGCAGCCACAGCTTAGCCAGGAAGTGCCCAGTCCCTGCCTGTCTGTATGCTTTAAATCTATTTTAATTATCTTCACGGCTGTTTTATCATCTCGTTTGCCTGAATAGCATTGCCACTTTTATATCCCTGTCTATCGCAATTATTCAGCTATTGCCGTGCAGCCCACTGTGTTTTACCATTATATTTCATAATTAATAGATCTCACATTATTAAACAATATACTTTTTTTAATTAATTGCAACTTATTTACAATTAAGAATACTTAGCTTCTCTATTATTAAACTTTTTTTANCCAATACAATGAAAACATGATGGGCGACTATATTTGGGGTTTATTGAGAGAAAGTAGCTATGAACATAAAAGAAAAAGTAAAAGTGTGCACTTTTAAGTTATTTTCCACTTTTCTGTAAGCTAATTTGATAGTAAAACTTAATAAAAATAATAAACATTTTTATTTCAATAGTTTTATTTTCAATCAAAAATTAAAATCCGAGATTTTTAAAAATTTCGTTCAATCAGTCTTCTAAGCACAAAAGCAAAGTTTTTCATGCCATATATTTTTTTCCGTCTTATTACGACCTAAACTACCGAAATTTAATGCTTTGCAATCAAAGTCAAATTTCATGTTGACCCGTGTTATCTTAACTAGAATCTTAACTATC